ATGAAAGGACTTGATAAAAGTTTGTAACACTAAGAGCAAAATATTTTGAGAGAGATCATTGGTTGTCTAGTAGGGGAAGCGAATCCCTCTTCAGCTCCTGGCAACAGGGTATGCGGGTGCAATTTTTCTAGAGGGTAGAAGTTGTTTAGGCGATATTTGCTGTTGAAAAACTTTACTATATTTTTCCTCATTTATATGAATACATTCCTCATATAAGAACTAAAGACTAAGGATCTGTGTAAATAGTCTGCTACAAGAATGTAAATGATGACATTTTGAATAGAAAATAAAAGATAATTTAGATGTCTAATGAAAGAGAACTGAGTGTTGGTTTTTTCATGGATCAAAGGTCTAGCACTGTTAAATTGTCATATTTTCTAAATATTAATTTTTCAGTGCATTATCATCACCCATGGAGAGATCGTGAAAATTCATTTGGCATCATTGAGTGGAGTTCCTTTTCAAGAGCCCATAGCTATAACAGGTATGGTTCTAAAATATTGGTCTTTCAGTCTTAGTGGTTAAGTTCCTTTGCATTTACCACATTCATGGAATACTATGCAACCGAAGCAATGATTTTTCAGATAAAATATTTATAACAAGGAACATATCTACTTCTGGCACTTGCTATGTAAGATGACAGCTGTTCAAATATCCAAGTTCTTTTTCTGTAAAAAGAAAAGGGATAGCTCTTCCCTCCTTGATGGATTGGAGGGCTATTATAAAAAGTCATGCATTCCATGTTCTTAGTATGATTTATTTCCTGTTGACAGAACATAAAATATCAGTGGTAAAGAATATGTACATCTGTATTTATTGTGACTTAAATGTTGAAACTGATAAGATATGCAGGTGGTCAGTTAACCCTTCACGACTTTTAGGCTTATCTCTTGAATTAGATATGATTTTTGTGTGTGGCTTGTTGATGTGCTTTGGTGTAACTGTGTCCTCTCTCTATGCATGTGGAAGGGTGTATGAGCAGGAATTCTGCCACAGTAACAAATAGCCCCAATATCTCAGCAGCTTAGAGACTCCGAGCTTTGTTCTTCTCATATTACAGGTCCTTAGTGGGTCAGCAGAGGTTTTGGTCATCTTCACTTAAGACCTGGCTCATGGGTCAGTGACCATCTCATCCTGAGAGGCAGCAGAATAGCAAATCTCTCACTGCTTCTTAAAACCTTTGCTCCAGAGTGACCTGGAGCCTACATTTTTTGGCCCCAGCCAGACACATACTCAGAGAAGAGCCTCCACAATAACAAAAATGTATTTTTAGTTCAAAAGAGTTTTAAATCTGAAGTGTAGACTATCATAAGCCATTTTAATTTTTTTGAACAGAACAGTGATATAAGAATAGAGAAAATTGTCTCCACACCCACCCCCCCAGCCTAGAAATTAAGAAGAATCATCAGGTGTCCATACTGACCATAAGAGAGTCATCTAAGTTAAAAGAAAAGATATTATAAGCAACACATAGAAATCAAGTAGAGAACTGTACATTGGCTGTGTGACTCGTATTTTAGAGAAAATGAGCACACTGAGCCATCACCAGAAAAACAAGCAATCTAATCTAATATCCAGAGGAAGAAGCTTTCACCTGGCCCACAGGTAGACTGTTGGGAGAAACATTGGTAGTTTCTACCAGGAGACTTATTCCTTGGCCCAGTGGGTGAGCTAATGAGGTTGTCAGGCCGAGGACCAAGGGGCTTGGAATTACGTTCCGCACTCATGTAACCACAGCTGCAGTTAATATTCATAAATTGCAAAACTAGCCCTTGAAAAGTCTGCATATGATCACTTGCTAAAGCCACAGAACTTGCAGGTGTAGCACTTTGAAAAAGGGTCTCTGATTGCTTGGGGAGTCTCGACTGGCTGTCATAAGATCTAGGTCTGTAGTCTCAAAATCCTCGAAATCATTTCACTCATCAAAACCCCCATTTCCCTATGAGAAAACGAAAGAAGCTTATTATTCATCTGTAAAGCACTGTCAACGGTAGAAATGAATGCTTTTTAAAAATCATAATTGCTTGTATACATTGAATAGCATTTTCAGAAAATCTTTAAGACTGTCCTGCTTACAAATGGTAACTAAATAAGCTAGTGCATCTCTAGGATAGGAGATAGTGTTTGCCAAGTTTTACTAAAGCTGGACATGTAAATGAAGCTCATGATAATTCTCTTGCTTTTACACTATATTCAAAATTTAGAGACAAATGAACTTAAACTTTAGGTGATTTTCTACATGTGAGATATATCTAGTATGTTTTTCTATTTTTTCCATGATACAATTTGTTATTTTTTTTTTAAAGATTTATTTATTTGTGCATACAGAACTGGGGTACAGGCCAGAGGCTCAGGGGCGGCGACAAGCTTCACCAGAGACAGAGTGGGGAGCAGAACAGGCAGATCGACGAAGTACACTGCTGAGGGGAGCAGCGGGCGGGTCAGGAGAGGTCTGCCACGCCATGTGGTCACCTCCGGGGCAGGCGGGAATCGAACTCATGCGGAAGCGGCTTTAGATTCTCAGTGCTGGGCTTTAACCCGCTGCGCCACCAGGGAGGGCCTACAATTTGTTATTTTTAAGAATAAATTTTAAGAATGGTAGTCTGAGGGATACTAGTCTTTAATCTTTGTTACTTTAACACATAATGGGTTTCCTCCAGCACGATAAGGACAATATTTTATTAATGCTGGTAAGGTAATGGTTCTTGTCTTGGGTTACTGGTGAGAGCCAGGGCAAGCCAGACATGATCCTGAAGTTAAAAATCCCTTTCCCATAGCTTACTCTCCCACCAGTAATCATTAGTGCTAAATTGGGAACTCCCTATGGTATTGGTATTGATTTTCTACATAAGGATAAGTGTAAACAGTGAAAAGAGCCAGTAACAGAGAAGGATGTGCAGAAATTGAAAGCTTCACACACCGGTGGTAGGGAGTATGGAACTGTAACACCAATTAGAGACAGTGTCACAGGTAGCCCAGAATTTAAATAAGACTTACCCTATAACCCAAAAATTCCACTCTGTTTTATACCCAAAGAAATCAAAACACAGGTCCAAGTGAAGGTTGAGCATGAATTCTCATAGAAAATTCTGCATGATGGTCAAAGAGCAGAAACAGCCTAAATGTCCATTGAGCGGTGACTGGATAAATAAGCGGAGTACATGCCTATGAGTGTGCGCAACCCCACCCTCGAAAGGAATGGCGCAGCAGGGAGCAATGTGTAACCCTGGAAATGCACAAAACCAGGAGCAGAAGAGCACGTATTTAATAGCTCCATTCAATGAAATCTCCACAGTGTGAAAATGCAGAGTTGGGAAGGGGGTGAATGTTGTCCAGGGGGTGGGGGGAAGACAATGATGTAGAACCGGTAAGAGGTACAAGAGGGTGTCTTTTCGTGGTGACAAAAATGTTCTGGAATGAACTATCACAGTGGTGATGGCTGTGTGATCCTGGGAATATGTGGAAACCACTAAACCAGACTCCTGAATTCTATCTTCATAATACTAATAATAAAACCATCATCATTTTTAAAAGAAAACCATAACATAAGATTGTATTTCTGATCTGACATTCAGATAAAGGAAGTCTCCTACTCTTTTGTGAACAAATTTTAAGACTTATTCATGCACACAGAACTGGGGTACAGGTCAGAGGTGCAGGGGCAGTGAGAGGCCAGAGGCTCAGGGGCAGTGAGAGGATTCCCCAGAGACAGAGAGGGGAGCAGAACAGGCAGATCGACGAAGCACACTGCTGAGGGGAGCAGCGGGCGGGTCAGGAGAGGTCTGCCGCGCCTTGTGGGTCACCTCCAGGGCGGGGATCGAACTCATGCGGAAGTGGCTTTAGCTTCTTAGTGCTGTGCTTTAACCCACTGCACCATTAGGGAGGGCCGTGAATAAAATTTTTAACAACTTTTATTATTTATTCCTCCAAAAGCACGTTTCACATTCACTTTGTGTGTTCAGGTAGGAAGTAAAACTGTATTTCTTATTTTTAGTAATCAGCAAGGATGTAACGAGTTCTCCTCTAATGAATTCTTGCTTCACACCCATTTGTACTCCTGTGTGTGTGGTGGGGGCCGAGGGCACCACCTCAGGCTCCCCCTTCCCACACAGCACAAGCTCCTTCAGGTCTGTCTGCTTACAGGATCCTTCCCCAAAGCCACTCTATTTCTCTGTCTTTCACACATGGAAACTGGAATTGTTGTTAGTTCATTAAAAATTAACTAGATAGATAGATAGATGGATAGATAGATAGATAGATAGATAGATGAGAGCATTTTATTGCTCAAATAGTTTTACTATTAAATAAACTACAAGTGAACAAATTATGCCCAATCCAAAATGGAGTCACTGATGTCAAGGCACAGGCCGCTCTGGGGAGCTGAATTAGACGCACCCAATGGACACGTGGGCACGGTGATGAGGGAGGACCCCGGGGGCACCCTGGATGGACTTTGCAGGCCCTCACCCCAACAGCCAGACACTCTGGCCTGGACAGGAAGACTTGCGGGGAGGTAGAAAGAGGCAGCTGGACACCAGCTGGGCGCAGGCGACCTCTACCCGGCTCTGTTTGCTGGACCCGCCTGGCTCCTGCTCCTCTGTCCAGGGACGCCGGACCAGCCCACAGGGCCCGGACACCACGAGCCCTTCACTGCACACACCTGACGGGGGTGGAGCCCGGGACACCTCGGGGGGTGGGGGGCGCCCTCTCTGCTCCCCCTGGGCTCATCAGCAGTGACCACGTTCAAGAGCCGCAGCCTCACAGGTGCGCCGAGGGGGAAACGGGACAGACGGCTCGTGGTGGGGACTCCTGTGCCCCCAGTCACCCGCTCTGGCCAGGAGGTGGTGGGTTTTTACTCGTCTCGGGTCACCACGAGTTTGTTGGCTTCATAAAGCGCAAGCACCCTGACTTCGCGCAGCCTCGGGGGAGAAGCATGCAGCTGAGGACGGCGTGCAGGGAACCCCTTGACGCCACAGCCCGGGAGGCGGAGGCCGGCTTACCCCTTCCGGAGCAGGGCAGGCCGGAGCTGCCCCGGCACTTCTCTGCGCTCTCCTCCGCCGACAGCGCGCAGGAGCGCGGGTGCTCGCACTTCTTCCCGGACCAGCCCGCATTGCAGTAGCATCTTCCGCAGTTACACTGCCCATGACCTACGCAAGGAGTCATACAGACAGTCAGTAAACGAGGTGAAGACAGAATTCGTTTTCATCTCAACACTGAACATCCCACGCGAGTGGACACACGCGAGTGAACATCACGTGCGAGTCAGCATCTTCATGGACACAAATCTAACGTAAAGGCAAAGAAAGGCACTTCCCCCTCCAGTTCTTCAGTTGCTGCTTTCTATGAATTGATCACGAGGGACACAGAACAAGGGGCCGCAGCGCTGTGACCTTGAATCTGTCCAAATCCAGGCGCGCGAGAGTGGGCTTGGTCTGCTGGACTCGGGAGTTGATGGGGGGGCAGGCAGTTGACACGAGTGAAGGCGAGCATAGAAAATGGAAAACCGTCTAGGCCAGCCATCCTGCACACGCCCGAGCTCGTCTGACGTCGGAAAATGGAAAACCATTTGATACTGCAACAGGGGCTCATGCCCTGGGCCCCCCACCCTTGATTCTCATGATTGTTGACTGCTAACAGTACGGACTCGGCTTCAAAGCAGGACCCCATGTGGCACTCACAACAGAGGGCTTGCTTGCTTGGCATAACTCAGGAGGGGAGGAAGGTAGGAACTGTGCAGGCCTGCAGAGGGCTGAGCTACTCAGCCTCTGAGCTCAGGACAGCACAGCACCATGCATTGCTGCCTGGCACTGGGGCAGAACACCAGCCTGTCCTGTCCATCGCATTAGTAGTCAAACCCTGACTCCCTGGCCCACAGATAGGATCACAAGATAATCTCGCTAGAGTTTAGTTTGTTCATTTTTTTTTAATTTATTTATTTATGCATGCAGAACTGGGATACAGGCCAGAGTTATGCGAGGTGAGAGGACCCCCCCAGAGACAGAGTGGGGAGCAGAGCAGGCTGATTGACCAAGTACACTGCTGAGGGGAGCAGCGGGCGGGTCAGGAGGGGTCTGCCGCTCCGTGTGGATCACCTCCCACCTCCGGGTACGGATCGAACCCGGAATGCCGAAGTGGCTTTCGCTTCTTAGTGCTGTGCTTTAACCCACTGCACCACCAGGGAGGGCCTAGTCTGTTCATTTTTAAGCAGGGTAGTAATATACATGTATCCAGAAATGCATCACCTATCTCAAAATGCTCACACTGATGGGTATTGACGTTTTTTTATTTGAATCCACAAGGGTTGCCAAGTAGGAATACAAAGGAAAGAAAGCAAGAGAACTCACTGAGCTTTTTGAGATGCTCCTTATGAAAGATGGAATAAAGAGGGTTTCTAAAATTACTCCATAATATGTATGAAGAATTTGACGGAAGTAGGACTACACATTCTTCAAGTTATCTAGTACAAATTTAATGGATAAAAATCCATACTATTTTGTCTATGGCACCTAACAAGCAAAGTATACATTTTACATATCATACTAAATAGACATTATAATAAGGTCTTTTCAGATCAGTCCATTTTACCAATACTCCAGGAGGCTGGTGGGAAGATTTCTACTTTTTGAGTTTAAAAACCAGGATAACGCAACTATACTGATGCTTTTCACCAGTCTAATTCTTCATGGGACAAAAACCACAAGTCAAAATGGAGTGAAATATTAGAAATCAGTGAATTAAATTTCTCACTTAACACTAAATTCAGTGTGTATTTATTGAGCACCTACTATATGGAGTTTACAACAAATTGCTGTCACCAGTAAACTTGCTTCTGCCCAAAAATCCAAAATTAAAATGTGTTTGATAATAACTGAATAACTCTTATTAGACCCACAAAAATGAGACATTTTTTATTATAACAATCTAGATTTACTAGCAATAGTAACTTACAGATTATTACATTCCAAACCCACCCCCTACACCAGACTTTCTTATGAAAATAAGAAAGAAATTTGCAAACAGAACTTATATTGCAAGTGAACAGATAAATAAAAAAATTAAAATCAGTTTTAACTTTCAAGTACAAAGCAATCCAGCTATTTTACAGGAACAAGTAGTTTGAAATTTTTGAAGACAAGAGGTTTTATCTGAGGACAGTGAGTTCTGCCACGAGAAACCTGGACAAAACACAGAACTTGCTGCCATTTTTAGGAGACTTGTTGACACTTCAACAAAAGTGTTGAAACAGAGTTAGACTGAAAGGCGAGAAAAGCTGGAAGAGTCAGGACAAAACACCCCGTGGCTGGGGAGAACCCACCTTCTCGGCAGTTGCCCCAATTCCAGGCAGCGACGCCTGAGACCTGCGAGTTGAGCGGGAGGCTGCACAGGATGCTTGTTAGAGCACTGCGTGCTCAGGTCTACCGCTGGGCTGCGGGTTTCACAACAGTTCTCAGTCCTCATTTTCTAGCTCAGGTATAGTCACAGTCAACATTTTCTTTAAAAGTTCATGGTGTTGGGCCCTCCCTGGTGGCACAGCGGGTTAAAGCACAGCACTATGAAGCTAAAGCCACCTCAGTGCAAGTTTGAGCCCCGCCTGCCCTGAACGTGACCCACATGGCGCGGCAGACCTCTCCTGACCCGCCCGCTGCTCCCTCAGCAGTGTACTTCATCCGTCTGCCTGTTCTTCTCCCCACTCTGTCTCTGGTGAAGCCTCTCACTGTCCCTGAGCCTCTATCCTGTACCCCAGTTCTGTGTGCACAAATAAATCAATCTTTAAAAAAAAAAAAGAAAAAGTTCATGGTGTTAATTAACGCTACAGTGATAACCATATCCAATACATACTCCTATCAAATTAACATGCAAACACCTTACATTTGCACAGAGGTACATGTCAAATATTTTTCAATTTAAAAAATCTGCAGGGAAAAAAAAAAGCCAATATGTGAAGGTGGCCAGGGCGATTATTTGGTGACTTGCTCTGACTTTTAGCTCTTTTAGCTCGGTCCAGTTAATATGAAAAATAAGCCAGGTTCATTGTGAGAACATGAAAACATTTGGGAAGAAATGCAAATGCTTTAGGCACAGAAGAAGAAGTCTCTGAAAGTCTTCCAACTTTTTAATTTTTAATTTGTTTTATTAATGTCAGTTCCGTTGGTTTATGAGGTTGTTAGTCTTTTGGAAGCCCAGGGCATTCCTTCAAGGGAAGTCGCCACAGGGCCCCCGGAGTCCTTCATCGCCATGAATTGAGCTCTCCCCCCTCCTTCCCCTGCTCCTTCCCCTCTGGATGTTCTACCACATGAAATCAGCCAGGAGGAGGAAGATAAACACCAGTGGTGTAATTTCCATGCAGAATACAGAGAACCCGAGCGAAGGTTTCAGTCAAGACAACCGAAAGCGACCTTGGAAATGCACCGCGGCCTGGCCAGCTCTGCCTCTGCTTTCTCTTCCCGCTGTCCCACTGCCGTTGCTTCTCACTCAGTCTTTAATCTGTTTACCCCCCTAACACTATGCTACCATTGCAGCTTCATTTTCCAACCTCTGCTCTTTCTAGGCTCTTCTACAATCACCAGGAGGAAACATGGCCCAAACATGGCCCATTCCTGTGCAATGCCACGATCACCTTGAAGGGTCACGCGGTTAGCACCTGCGCTGCCCCAGGTATCGCCAACTCCAAGCAAAGTTCAGGACATGTCTTTACTTTTGCAAAGTACCGACACTGTAATGACTTTTCTATAGGGAAAGGTTGGGGGGAATAACTAACATCTAACTAGTATTAGGACTTAAAAAAATCCATATGTGGATCTCCCTTTCAAGATGATGCAAACTGAACACATTTAACTGCTTCCTTCCATTTCTATTCTTTGTGCTCTGGGATTCCATGGCGACATCTCCCTGTTGCACAAGTCCTATCAGACGGTGCGATTTTCTAAACTAATGAAATGCCAGCCAGGACTAGCTTTTTATTTCCATCATTTTGGTGGACAGGATAGACTGAAAGATGGGGCGTAAGGTCACATGGTAGCGTATTGCTCAAGTTACGGGGTTGGGAGACAGCAGTGTTAGGCAGTCAGCAGTGACAAATGGACACTTTCAGGGCATCGGGAAGCAGAGTCTGAGAGCAGGTTATAGGCATGAGGCAGCAAACACGGCAGCAGGCTCACTTCAGGATGACTCGCTTTGCCCTGGTCATTTCAGTTATGCTCAAATCCTGACGACAGTGTCATCTTCTTTAGGGTATGTGTGCATGTGTGTGTGCAATCATCCATACACAAAGATACAGCCACGCACATGCTGTGGATGATGAACAGGAATGAAAGAAGAAATGAAGCTGATTTACTTGCAAATAAGGATCATGTGTTAAAACACAAGTATCCTTGCAGCAGCAGGCACAACACAACTATCTACACACCTCATCGAACACTCTAGTGGCTAGAGTGGGACTGAATGGATAAAATGACAGTGTCAGTTAAAATAGCCCACTTAAAAAAGAAATACAAAATTGTAAACGGTGAGCTCACAGAGAAAGAAATAAGAAATTTAAAACACCAACTTCAACTAATCCACTGGGAGATTTCGCTTGGAATTAAATAAGACCAACACTCTCAGAATGGCAAGAAAAGGGCTAAAAATAAAGTTGCATTCCATCCGAAACTCATTACACGCCAGGCTGGCATAAATCACCAAAGGATATCCACGCAGTCGGCTTACTTCAGTCTCAAAACACATTAACATTCTCAACATTCTCAATCTTATGGTGCAACTTAGAATGGCAATTAGGGAAATGGTGACGACTGATAAAAGTGCAAACATAACATGGAGCACTACTGCTTTACTGAGGATGAAAAACATTCCAGAGGAGACGCCTGCCCCAGGTCAACGTGACGGGAAAAGAGCCTGAGATTTAGGGCCATCTGGGCATCCCGAGGACAGCTCTTCCTCACAAAAACAAAATTGGGGCCCTCCCTGGTGGCGCAATGGGTTAAAGCACAGCACTGTGAAGCTGGCCACAGCCACTGCAGCATGAGTTCGCCCCAGTGAGGGAGTGACCCACATGGTGCACCAGACCTCTGCAGTCTCGCCCACTGCTCCCCTCAGCAGTGTACTTCAGTCAATCCGCTGGTTCTGCTCCTCGCTGTCTCTGGTGAATCATCTTATCCCCACACCTCTGGCCTGTACCCCAGTTCTTGCATGCATAAATAAATCTTTAAAAAAATTGAAGAAATTAATTTCTATCACTTAGAGATTAAATTAGACGCGTGCACATGTGTTTCCCAGTGGTCCCTAAGGAGTTATCTATTTCTCTAGAGCTGTCTCCTCCCTGGTAATAGCACTCAAGCCTAAGTCCTGCCTTTCCCAAACTCAAATAGCCTGCTGTTGCCCAGAAGCTTCACAGTGGACTAGCACCTATTTGCATGTGCTAGGTATTAGATTCGATATCCTCATGCTCAAGTAAGCTGGAGAAAAGAAAATATTAAGAAAACCACGAAGAAGAGACCAGACATGGACAGTATCGGACTGTACTTGTTGAAAATCATCTGTGTATGCTGGACACTGGCAGATGAAGCCGAGTTGGAGATCCGCTGTGGGTCAGCTCGCTCACCCTGTTCCTGGCAGGGGCGCTGCTGGTTTTGAGTTCTAACCTTTGAGCAGTGTTTCTCCTGGGTGAGCGAGAGCTAGTTTTCAGAGGTCGGTGCGTTTTCCTCTCTCTCTCTGGGCCCCAAGTGACTAGTAGGTGCTGGGCAGGTTCAGTTGCCTTACGGTGCAACTGGCTCTTTTGCCAGTGCTTATGGGGGTCAGAGAGAAACTTAAAAATAGGGAAGTGAGGCTTTCTTGCTGAGAAGGGGCGTCAGGAGGGCACTTACCCGAGCAGAAGTCGTCGGAGTAGCGGTCGTAGACGGCCCGACAGTCCCGCTCGTCGCACTGGCAGGTGGGCCCGTGGATGTCGCCCCAGTCCCCGGTCGGGTCGACGTCGTGGCAGGAGCACTCCCCACACACACACGTGCCTGCCGGGAAAGTCGTGTTACGGCTGCAGGGACGGGAAGCACCCGGGACGAGGCGCACCGGGTGTTTTGCGTGCTGGGGCTTCTTGATTTGGGAAAATCAACTCACAGAAAACAAAAAACAAAAAACAAAGGTAAACTTCACCTAAAGTGGGCAATGGAGATTCTTTCAAACAAAAGTGACTGCTTCTAGAATGGTGGTCAGTGTCGAACTGGATTTGTTGAAAATTATCTGTGAATCCTGGACACTCACAGATACAACCACTATGGAAAGCTGTTTGGAGGTTGCTCAGCAGGCTGACAGCCATCATGGGTCACTGGGAGATGGGAGACTGGGTGCTGGGAAGAGGCCCAGTGCAGGTCATCTTCCTGTGAATTCAGCTTTAGGGCAACAAGCTAGTGAACAAGGGACTCTCATGGCCATCAGCCTCATTCAGGCTGTGCGTCCCCCTCCGCCTCCACCAGTTCGCGGGTAGCAGGTGTTTCTACAGGACATTGGTCTCTGGGGCCCTGTGCTTGGCTGCAGGCCCCATCCTGGTCCATTTTCTCCAGTCTATTTTCAAAACAAAATGGGTATTGCCCACATTCACACAGTCAGCATCCTACAGTGACACCATGAGAGTGACAGCTGACATTATTGAATATAAAGCACACTAATAGAAACATGTCTTTATATGCTAAATAAAAATACAACATGCATTGGAACATTGAATGTTCAATCAGATCTGTTCTGCATGAAGAGGATTTTTATTCCAAGTTCAAACTTTTGGTTTCCTTTCTGTGTGTGCAGAAATGTGCCACATTTCATTCTTCCATGTCAGTTAGTAAAAGAGTGACATTGGCCATGTAGGCGCTGTCTATTAAAGGGTGGCATTCCTTTGCAGAATTGAAAATTTTCCAGCTTTCTTGATGCTCATAATTTTATAGAAGGAAATGTGGGCCCTTATTTTATATCAAGTCACCAGTGTAATTCCACGGGGCTCTCTTTTTCTACCAGAACAGCTTGCAAAGGGGACAATAACAAGTATTTTTAATAGAAGTAGTCAAACTGATCTGGTTTCACCAGTGAGTTGACTCAGTTTACATCTTAGCAATGACAACATATTTTTCAAGTCCATGTTTTCTGTCAGTCAAAACTCCTTTAGCTCTTTGATCCATGTTTATTTCTTGTCTTCAATGTCACACTTTTTATCAGTCAAAAGCTGAATGACTTTATCAATTCTGCATTCCAACCCACACTCCTATTTACTCATAATTAAGACAAGGAGAGTTTTGTGGTTTGGTTTTTTCTGAATGTGCTCTGGATAATTAGATACTCATGCTGTTGATGGCTGTGTTAGTCAAGAGACATTTAGCAGAAGTATCTACAAGAATTGCCTTTTAGCTGTACGGTGCTATTTCTGGATGGCCGCCAAAGAAATTACAGTCCCTCTGTTAACTATTTGTTCAGTCAAGCTTAAAGAATGACAGTGACTTTCTTATCTTTCTGCTTTCTACTCAAGAGGAAAAAAAAAAAAAAAAAACAGGAAGAAAAAAAAAAAAAAAAAAGAAAAGAAAATTAAGGGGTTGGAGTTGTGGGTTGTAAAGGAAGCCAC